TAAACTGAACGTAACAGGTAAATTCAAATTGATCTTCACAGAAATTCTGTTTGGATCAGGGGATTATCAATTGTTTACACGAAGTAAATTATTAAATGTAAAAGAAATAAGACAATATGAAAGCTTATTTTGACTCTCACCTGTTCATTCACTATATACCCTTGTCTTAACTTATCAAGATATTTCATTTCAAAATCATATTCCCAGAATAAATGTACTAAGTTTTTTTCTGTGAAATTAACATATAAAACATTTACAGTCAGATAAATTCAGAAGAGACAGTTTGTGTGACATAAAAATAATTGCGTTTAAATTTCTATTAAAGCCGAGTTGCTTTACAACTTGGGAATGAATTATAAATAACAGGCCCATATTTTATCCCATAAAAACTCAATATAAATTATATTTTCCTATTTTCTTTGTCCTTCTTTGTATTCCAGAATATGGATAAATATTTAACCTCGATATTTTCAAGTTCGCGTCTTCGTAATTTTATTGGAACCATATAAGTTACAAGCAGGTCTTATTTCTATAATTATGGTTTTTCAAGTATTTACATATAGCGGAGGTATACGCATTCGGCGATCTAGTTTCGCGTATATTTTATCTTCTATAAAACTAGCATTTTGTTCTTTTGTTTCTTTCAAAGCGCAAGACATATTTGAAAAACACTATATGTTGGAACTAAATTATAACGATTTCTTGTGCTTATAAATTTCGGTGGTACAACAATATATATATTCCAAATATCTTATATAGATTCTTTTACCCTGAGAGATATGTGTTATTTTTCTATTATACCGAATAAATATTTTAATGTAATTTTCACCGATACACATTATTACTCCGAGATTCATTCATCATTGATTTTTTATCAGGGAAGTGAACTAGAATATAACGTTTCTTCAAGTCTATATAGATTACTTGCCCCTGGGAATATTGCAAAAAAAGTATTGACCGAGTGATTTTCATAGAAATTATCGTCTCCATTACCATTATCAATTTTTTGTAAAAAAATATTTTGTCTTTTTTTGTTTGTTTAAACACAACGTATCAGAATGCATAACGTTATAAAAATTTAAATTTTCCTGAATATTGGACAATATACAAATTTTAAGACAGCTGTCATTATTGTTTAAACGGATATCCACCGCGGTCCAAAAGCACAGATCACCTGGCGCACTTCAAACAGAAATATATGCAAAAGATGATAAAGAAACTTCTTAAAAATGAATTGAAAGTTGTATTTTCATGCGATTCTTATCCCAATATCACCGAAAAGCGTTAAAACGCTTTTCAATTTTGGGTCATTTTTTCACGATCAAAATTATTAATCTGGAAGAACAGACGAATGTTCTGAAATTTTGCACACACGGTATTTGTCTAGACCTTCATTAAAGTGAACATTATTCTCGAAAAATTTATGTCCAGTCCCATTATTCAAACAAACCTTAGCGGAGTGCCTTTAAGAGGTTAGAGTCTTTTTTAAACTAACGGTCGCTTAGGATATCGCTCGTATTTGTTTCAATGAAGTTCATCTACTATGTTGAAATACCGCGCGTTTCAAATTCAAAACTTATTAGAAACACAACATACGTTTGTTTTTAAAATAAGTTTTTCATTAACGTTTCAGCTCATAGCTTTCAATACATGAAGACAATTTTGGATTTTGTGAATTGTTTTCATTTAAATCTCGTTCGTATCTACACCGATTTCAAGCATTTCATTTAATTCTAGTTCATTCTAGCACCAGTTGTTCATTTTTTTCCTTTTTAAAAAGTATTTCAGAAATGAAAGTTTCGTTTTAACTAAAACAATGTGCGTATCGTCAAATAACTGGTTTTCATTATGTTTCTATTCACTTAATAAAGATATGTTTGTAAAACATGTATGCCCCCTATCGACAACCAATTAGTCATGTGGTCAGGTTATTATGACTGTCTTTTGACCTATAGACCAAAACACATATAGGGATTATCTACTGGTCATGACTAGCACTAGGTAATTGTAACTGTAAAGGTTGTGTGCAGCAATTTAATGACAAAGTTATCACAAATCTTGCATAAATTCTATGAATCATGAAGGCCTTAAAGACAGCCAAATTGTTATATTACATAAGACCTTGAAATGTATATACCAAAAGGATTTTTAGTTTAATAATCAATATCAACCAAGTTGTTGAGTTATTGGTCACGTACAAGGACAATGTGACCTTGACCTCTGATCCTAAAATCAATAGGGGTCATCTACTGGCCATGAGCAACCACCATGCCAAGTTTGAAGTTCCTTTGCGCTCCTTTCAGTTATTTATCATAACAGTTTTTACCTACAAGGTCAATGTTACCTTGATCTTTGACTCCTTAAAACCAACATCTATAGGGGTCATCTACTGGTAATGAGCAATCATCATACCAAATCTAAAGTTCCTAGGCCTAAGCTTTCTTTAGTTATTAATCCGAAAATGTTTTACCTACAAGGTCAATTTGACCCCAAAATCAATAAGGGTCATCTACTTGTCATGAACAATCATAATACCAAGTTTGAAGTTATTAGGCCTAAGCGTTCTAAAGTTATTGATCGGAAACCGTTTTTACCTACAAGGTCAATGTGACACTGACCTTTGACCCCTTGATCCCAAAATCAATAGGGGTCGTCTGCTGGTCGTGACAAACCATCATACCAAGTTAGAATTTCTTAGGCTTAAGTGCTCTTTAGTTGTTGATCGGAAACCATTTTTACCCACAAGGTCAATGTGACCTTGACCTTTGACGCCTTGACCTAAAATCAATAGGGATCATCTACTGGTTATGACAAATCGCCATACCAAGTTTGAAGTTTCTAGGCCGCCTAAGCGTTCTTAAGTTATTGTTTGGAAACCGTTTTTACCTACAAGGTCAATGTGACCTTGACCTTTGACCCCTTGATCCCAAAATCAATAGGGGTCATCTGCTGGTCGTGATCAATCATCATACCAAGTTAGAATTTCCTAGGCCGAAGTGCTCTTTAGGTATTGATCGGAAACTATTTTTACCTGCAAGGTCCATGTGACCTTGACCTTTGATTCCTTGAGCAAAAAATCAAGAAGGGTCATCTACTGGTCATGACCAATTGCCATACCAAGTTTGAAGTTCTTAGGCCTAAGCGTTCGTTAGTTATTGATCGGAAACCGTTTTTAAATACAAGGTCAATGTGACATTTACCTTTGACGCCTTGACTAAAAAATCAATAGGGGTCATCTACTGGTCATGACCAACCGCCATACCAAGTTTGAATTTTTTAGGCCTAAGCGTTCTTTAGTTATTGTTTGGAAACCGTTTTCACCTACAAGGTCAATGTGACCTTGACCTTTGATCCATTCACCCCAAAATCAATAGGGATCATCTACTCTTCATGACCAATCATCATACAAAGATTAAAGCTCCTAGGCCTAAGCGTTCTTTAGTTATTGATCGGAAACCGTTTTTACCTACAAGGTCATTGTGACCTTGACTTTTGACCTCTTGACCCAAAAATCAATAGGGGTCATTAACTGGTCATAACCAATCATCATACCAAGTTTGAAGTTTCTAGGCCTAAGTGTTCTTTACTTATTGGTTGGAAACCGTTTTTACCTACAAGGTCAATGCGATCTTGACATTTGACCCATTGATCAAAATCAACAGGGGTCATGAACTTGTTATGACCAATCATCATATCAATTTTGAAGTTTGTAGACCTAAGTGTTCTTCAGTTATTGATCGGAAACCATTTGGTCTACGGACCGACAGACGGACATATTTAAAGCAATATACCCCCACTTCTTTGAAGGGGGGCATAATAAAAATAAAAAGATAAAGCCACGTTTCATAACCTCTCACGCGTCTAGGGTTTCAATCTTTGAACCTTGTCAATAGGGCCGAGGTATTTTCAACCCGCTCCCTTTTCTGTCCAAACGTTAGCAAATGCGGTATCCAACGGGCGCACACTTAACTTTAACTTTTTTTTCAAGATTGAAAACACATATGACGCACTAAGACCAGATATGTCACTTTTCTCCTGCAAAGTATATCTTGCATCTTCATCAACTATGGCTTTGATAGTGCTGATGTCTTTTTTCAGAGATAGTGGAAATTTGCCGCCCAGCAGGGAGGGGATCATCCTATGCAATAAGGTCTTTGCTCCTCTTTCAAAACACAATGCAACTCAGTCATGTTTATAACAAGTATACAAAAACACATATATTTAAATGACCTGCTAAAATGTTTTGCAGTGCAAATCGTGCGAAAATAGACTGTTGGTTAGAAAAAAATCAATAATCTTACCAACGACATATTATACATGTACTTTCACGTGCAAATCATGTTTAAATTTAGTTATTGCCACTAATCTAAATCTTTAGGCTTTAATGGAAAGAATGAAAAGAAACTTATTCATGAACAAATTAATATTTTAGCCAAAATTTTAAACAATTTTATTATAGATTGCGTACATCCTACTTCCCCTTTAGGGAGAGTGACAACCTGTTACGTACATGATTGAAAGTAACCGCATAATAAATTTAAGCGATCCACTAGCGAAAAAATATTGTTCAATTACATATCCCAAAAATATCATATACATGTAATATTTTTTCTGTATTAAATTACATCAAAGTTGTTGATTACAATATTTCATTTCTAACTAAAGTTATCGTTCGAAAATCACTGTTTTAATTTTAGTAGATAGTAGAAAGGTAATTGTGAGAATTTATGGACGGTAATTTGCGCTATCCAGTTTTGTCCATGAACATGTTCATACCAAGCCTGCATCATTTTCAATTGCTGGGCTTTCTTTCCGGATTCTGCTTTCTCTATTTTAAAGAAGGGTAAATACTCATGTCTATGTGTATGTCTTTTTCGTAATTGGTAGGCAATAAAATTTAAAAAAAGATTGACGAAAGAGAGAGAGCATAAAAAACAAAGACTGCTAGAATCTTTTATAATTTTTCATTGTTAAATATACTTTTTATTATTTATTACCTTAAATCTATTTCTAATACACAAATCTTCTATTCAAAGCATATTTCATAAAGTCATAAAAACAAAACTAAAACATATCTATGTGTTTTTCTATTTATACAGAAATCAGCTTATCTAACATTCTTGTTATACATCAAGTTCATTCACATATCCATATCAATAAAATTGTGACATAAACTCTATCACATTCATCATGTTACTATTTAAATTATTTACTACAATAAAGCATATATCCGTACATGTGCATTTCTATCAAAGTATACTGAACGACACTTGTAAGAACTCAATGACAAAAGATAAGAAAGGCTACATACTATATACGCATAGAATATAAAACAAAAACAAGATAATGTTTAGAGAAAATTGAATGGCTATTGAATATTTAAATAACATGTTATATGCGCAAATTCTGTGCTCGTTCATTGACAAATATTTACAGTTCATTTCAAAGGTACACCATATACACAACTGAAAGACAAATATCATTGAAACAAATGATTCTTGGACCCTAACCCTATGACTTTAACACTTATTTTGTGTTTTAAACTTTTCACTGTTTGCAGAGATGAGATTAAAACAAAGATATAACTTTCTTATAATATACTTGCGAAAGACTTTCTGGAATGAAAATCTCAATTTTCGTTTTTATTTATGAAAGTTAAACCATGAGGATAACCTAACTCATATAGCCTTTTGCTTGTCGTTAGTAGTAAATGCTGTCAGATACCGTTGAAAACATCAGCCGAGTTGATAATCAGTCGTATGACCTTCCAAACTTGAAAAAATATGTGTATATTTATATTAAGGCTAATTTATCAGTGGAAGAAAATAGTCAATCAATCGCTATAATTAAAATGTAATTATGACATATATCAGCTTCCAAGCAATCAGATATCTTAAAAGGAAAAGCGTAGAAATTAAACTACCATTCTGAGTCTCGTCTTTGTCCTTGTGAATGTGATAAATGTTTGTCTTTGTTTCGTATTTTCCGTATAGCTAAGCAGGTGATTGTCACAATAATGATTGGTACAAATATTGAGCAAACCACAACAACGATCACAAGCGTTAAACCAACTGAAAAATTAGATAAAGTAGATAAATAAATAATAATAAAAAAAAAATATAAATGCTTTCGTCTTAATGATCATCTGCGTACATTTTAGCTTAAATTGCAGAAATACGTTTATTTTTTAAACTTAAAGTTAAGATATTTTCATTATCACAAATTAAATTAAAATTAAATCACAATTAAAATACCATTCACCCATTCACGTTGGTAAAAATCATAAGTTTTGCTAGAAATCATTTTCTTTGAAAAAAATGTTTTTATAGATACATTTTATATAAAAAGTGTGCATATTTTTCATTTACTTCTTGGCTCATGATCTGGTAAATTATTTTACAAGGTTTTGAGTTATAAACTTACTTCCGCTATCTTTTTCATTTAATCTGAAAAATAAAGAATTATTTTTGTATTATTTCAATTTAACAAAACTATACTTTCTTAAGCTGAGGACTACTTCTTTAAAGCATGCCATAATCTATGATGCATTTAAGGAGAACATGCTACTTGTCAGGAACAAAAATTGCCGATTTGAAAAAAAAAGTTCTCATAACAACTTATGAAATTTGTAATACCACACTTACACACAGGAATTATTTCCTTTAAGAATAACACATTTTTCATTTTCCTCACAACGTCCATTTAGTGATTTATAAACATTACACATGATTTCTTCTTCTGATCTAGTTTCGTTGGTTACTGTAAACAAACAATACATATTGGTAAGTTGCTAGTGCAAACATAGGAACGCCACCTTTCCTTGTTGATCTTGTTTATTATATATTATATAAGAATTCATTCAGCCTTCGAGAGAAAGTATAACAAACTATGGGCATTGAAAATAGAAATGCATTACTCCACCGGTCGAAACGTTATTCATTAATGTTGCTTTAATGTTAAGAAATATTTTCTAATTGAATAAAGTTTTAGTCAGAAAAGAAAGAAAAAAAAGTCTGATTTCTAGAAAACTAGATTAACGTATACACTTACATATACTAACAGGTTATAGAATTTATCATCACGGATGTTGCAAACACAGTTTCATTAAACACGTCTATTGTGTTCTCTCCAGTCAGAAAAGCGGTAGTTGTTTTTGTAAGATTATCGGCAGATGCAGCTTCCGTGCTATATATTACCTCAAAATCTACCTTAAGACTTCCGACACTTAAAAAAAAGTTCAACACATTTCAGACCTCGACACTAACTTTTTTAGCAGGTGGTAAGCCGGACCACTGGATTTGAAATTAAGGTGGTCCTTCCAGAAGTCAGGTGGTCAATTTTATTATTATATCATTTTACTGCAAATTTAGAAAAATATATGCTTTCAAAGATGTATTATTAACTTTCAATAAAACAGATATTTTAGATATATATTTTATCTAATCAGAAATTAAGGAGAGCAAGATAGTAGGTATTCTATCGTGAATTGAGTTATTTGGGGTTTTTTTTTTATCTCATTGTAAATAAACAACAGGACTCATATTTATGTTTACTTTTATATTGAAATGATTTCTCCCTAAACTCAAGGAAATAGTGAAACCATTTGTGTCTTATTTTCTTACTGTTATTCAAATATGCATTACTGGTACGTGGTACATCTTATAATTATGATAATTACATGATTGTATCTTTTATAGATTAACGTTTTTAATAAAACTAATAAATTATCTTATTCTCGTCTTTGAAAACAAGGAAATATCTAAAGGATAAAAAATAATAACAATGTTAAATATACATGTATAACTATAGTTAAGTTTATTTATCTCACTGGTTTATTATGGAAACAGAATATTAACATCCCTGTTGCTTGATGGTTGATATTTATTTTTGACAGTGAGTATTTTAAACCTTTTAAAGTAATTTTAACACTGGAAGAAATAATTCTCTTATCGTTAAACAGTTAAAATAAAGAAAAGTAGCAAAGAATTACTACATGTATTTTTTCAGTTCTTTTCGTTTGCTGGCTTTTTTTTATTCAAGTCAAGTATATTAAATTTTAAGTTTATCCGGTATCCCATACAATATCATAAATACCATCGTCGGATACCCACGGTTGATAAAAATGTAACATAACATAAATGTCAATGGTTCCACCGTGGGTATCCGACGATGCATAATTACTGGCGTCATTTGAATGAATTTTGTACCAAAATTAATATCACAAATTCTTAACTCGTTTAACTTGCATAAACAAAATATTAGCGACTTAAAATAAAAGTTATTCGTGACTTAAGAACGTCTTAAACTAATCAGATATTTATGTATTTTGTATATTTATGAACCATTAACATGTACATCGGACAAATGATTTTAAACAAAATGTATATAACATGTTTTTGACCAAATCGCCATTCTCCCAAATGAGCCCTGCAGCAACCAGAAATTTCGAGTGGTCCGACGGACCAGTGGCTTTTAAAATTAGGTGGTCCTTGACAAAATCAGGTGGTCTCGGACCAACGGACCACCGCTAATGTCGAGGCCTGCATTTATACATGTTCATTTCACAATTAAATAAGACTGACGCCAAACATATTAGAGTAAGTAACAATTGATCACTTTAACTTTATATCACATTCCAAAATAAATGAAAAGGAACATTTAAAATAGAAATGGCAACGAGTAAAAGATTAATTGTGTAATAGATGACCAAATTTACTTTATATAAGTACTATATTTCTATTTAATTCTGATATCTTAATTTCCATTATGCTAGTACTGATACTTTACAATCACTTTTGAAACACTATACGATCACTTTTGAAACAGTATATACGATCACTTTTCTGTGTTTAAAGTTAGGCAATATTATTACGCTGCTAAACAATAAGTATTTGGAATCATTTGGCACTTTTGCCATCTTAAATTTATCCCATTCTGTATGTTAATTGCTATTAACAAGTGTCCTGTTAATTAACATGTGTTTATGACGTCACTTTATGACGTCAAACTTAAACGAAACACTTGGACGTGAAGGTTTTGACGTCTTAAAAGAGGAGAAGCGCTCTGACCACCATTGCGGTAAGCCGTTGTTTTCATTTCTCGGAAGTTTTCCGATTTTCTTTTATTTCCCCTACCTTATTTATTTTTATATGCATGTTAATTATGAAATATTAATGACTTAAATATTTAATACAATTCATAAAACTTACATTTGCCTTTATTCTCATTTCTTTTGTTTAATTTACACAAACGGTCCTGTGATATCGAACCGAAAGACTGTTTCCCCGTTTACACTGGTGCACTCGTGACCAGGATCGTTTGTGCATTTATATATTATTATCATATATAGTAGTGTACTGTACATATAAATTTAGATCTACCATCAGTATTTTACCGTATTTATTTTACTAGATCTAGTCTGTACTTCAATAATTATGTTCAAAAAAAGTTTGCTTGACTTTCTCACGCCATGGAGAGGTAACTCCAGTAAATCCGTAATGCAAACTCCAAAAAAAAGAAAATTAGATTTTAATGAAAACAGAGCAAACCTTGTCGGATATTTGGCACGATGCCCTCTACAATCCCACAGACAGCAATGTCCATGAATAGTACATCTAGCTGTCAAAATGGCTACGACACTAATGTAAACAGTAGGCCTACACGTCATCATTGTGACGTAATAAAACCAAAATCAATCGATAGATTTTAATGAGGGTATAAACGCCACTAAATCTTGGCTATCGCCAATTTGAGAACTTGCCTTCGTCGTAGAGAAAGAGAGCCCGATCAAATTCAGTGGTGAAATCTGACTTTGGCTTGTTTATTATCCATTTTGAAGCAGGTCGCAAATTACAACAGGTGTCTGAACTTGACAAAGCCCAAAACTTGGGCAATTTGCCACCCCCTCAGAGGCCGTGCACAATGTGTTTTGGAAGAATTGTCTCAAACAGAGTTGAGCCATTATTCTTGTCTGAGAGAAAGCTCTCAATAAACGTTTCAACCCAAGTGAAAAAAGAACCTCGAGTTATAAAGTTTGGAATTTAGAAATAAGAGGCGAAATAAGCAAGAATCCCCTGTTTGAATATGGTTTATAATTTAAAGCGTCTCGGTATAAAAGCTTACCCCGACATGCCGCACAAAACATTAGAAACCTTAATTGTAGATCAATTTATAGAGGGATTAAATAGGTCAGAACTCTGACGCCACGTGCAATTCGGGCACCCTTCTTTATTAGATAGTGCCATTTCTCTTGCAACAGAATTTGAGGCATTTGACTCATTTAAGACTTGTAAGCCTAGTAATGAAGAATATATCCGTCCCGTACAAAATCAAGATGTAAATACGCAAACATCGCTAGAGAAACTTGTCTCTTCTCTAAATGATAAAATTGATTTACTTTCAGTCAATAATATGTCAGGTAATAGTAAAAGACAGGGCAATAGATCCGCTCACCGTCAAAGAGTATGTTATAATTGTCACGAAGAGGGTCACATTAGTACCTACTGTCCGTTAAAAACAGAATAGATCAGTATACAATCAAGATAATTACAACCTTGGCAATGCGCCAGCGCAGTCTACATGTACGCTTCCTAATGAAATTAAAAATACCACAAATCAAAATTCGTTAAACTAGAACGGGCTGAGTTTGAGGCCGAAAGCCCAGTCCTTTTGCAAAAATTTTAATTGTGATTCAAACATAAGGCCTTCTGTTAATGTTAGAGCTATTTCAACACAAGGTTGTTGGTTTCTAACCCTGTGTTATTGGTGGTAGTGAAAAGGATTTATTAATTGATTCTGGTGCGTCTTGTAGTATTTTGACATATGACTGTTATAAATCCTTGGCTAGTTTGCCAACGCTTAATAGAATAAATGTTGTGCTTAAAGGCGCTGACGGTACTCCATTGAATATTTTCGGACAATGTAAAACTCAAGCTTAAAATTAACGGTCGTATGTTTGAACACAAATTTGGTTGTTGCCCAGTTAGATAAAATTGATGGTTTATTGGGCCAGGACTTTCTGGAAAAATTTGATGTTACTACTAGTTGGGGCAAGGGTATTCTTAAAATAAGAAATTTTAAAGTGCAGTTGAAAAGAGAAAATACAAATGTATGCACTCGCGTTTAGTTTCGGAAACGATCAGCATTCCTGCAAAATGTGAATTGTTATTAAAGGGTAAATTACTTGATTCATGGAAAAATGGTACTTTTGGTATCGTAGAACCTAATGATAAAATTTTGCAGCGTAAAGATCTATTTGTAGCCAGGTCTCTTGTAGAAAGCAACAACAAAGAAGTTGTATTCTCTATTTTGAATTTAAATTCAGAGCCTGTAAAGCTGAAACAAGGTTATGAAATAGCAAATTTATCTCAAATTTCGTCAGCACAAGTAGTTTCACACGGTACAAATTTCAACGTTTCTATGGAAAATGATGTACTTCCGGAGCATTTAATGCCCATGTATGAAAAGTCTTGCGAAAATCTTTCAAAAATCACAATCTGAACGATTGCGAAAATTTTCTGATAAATTACCAAGATATTTTTGTAGGGCCTGATGGGAAATTTGGTTGTTACTGATGTAGTAAAAACATTACCATAGACACCGGTGATTACCGTCCAATTAAGCTTCCTCCAAGACGTTTGCCTATTGCGCAACGTGAAGTTGCCGATAAAAGAAATAAATGACATGTTAGAAAATGGTATAATTTCCGAAAGCAATTCTGCTTTTGCTAGTCCTATTGTCTTAGTACGAAAGAAAGATAATTCAGTTAGATTCTGTGTAGATTATAGAAAGTTGAATGATATTACGCGTAAAGATGCCTATCCTTTGCCTAATAGGTTTTCTGATTCTCTTGACCAATTGGCGGGTTCTTCTTGGTTTAGTACTCTTGACCTAGCTAGTGGATTTTGGCAAGTTGCCATGGATACTGATGATAAACATAAAACTGCATTTGCGACGCACAGAGGCTTGTTTCATTTTAATTTTATGCCATTTGGGCTAGCAAACAGTCCAGCCACATTCGAACGTCTAATGGAACTTGTACTAAGTGGCCTGAGATTCGAACGCTGTCTGGTATATTTGGACGACATAATTGAGTATGGCGACACATTTGAAAAAAGCATTTAGAAAACTTAACGCTTGTCTGCGACAGATTAAAGTCAGCAAATTTAAAATTGAAACCAAAGAAATGTGTATTATTTCAGAGGGAGTCGCTTATCTAGGCCATGTAGTATCTGGTGACGGGGTGGCTTGTGATCCAGCTAAAATAGATGCTGTTAAAAATTGGCCAAAACCGATGTCTGTTTCTGATGTTAAAAGTTTTCTTGGACTTGCAAATTATTACAAGAAATATGTAGAAAATTTTAGCACAATTGCATATCCCCTTACACAACTTACGCATAAAAATAGACGTTTTCATTGGTCCGAGGCATGTGAAAATTCATTTACAACATTGAAGTCAAAGTTAATTTGAGGCGCCAATTTTAGCGTAATCCTACAACAACAGGACGCTTTATTTTGGATACAGATTGTTCTAATTTCTGTATGGGCGCCATCTTATCACAAGTTCAAAATGGGGAGGAAAAGGTAATTGCGTACGGAAGTAAGAGCTTAAATAAGTCTCAGCGCAAATACTGTACTACTTATAAGGAATTGCTAGCCGTTGTTCATTTTGTCCGTCATTTTAAACATTATTTATGGGGTAGACCTTTTCTAGTACGTACAGATCATAGTTCACTTAATGGTTAAAGAATTTCAAAGAGCCTGAGGGTATGGTTGCGAGCTGGGCTAGCTATTTTAGACACATATGATTTTGAAATTGAGCACAGAAAAGGAAGTTTGCACGGGAATGCCGATTCCCTTAGTAGAATTGCACAATCAAAATGCAAGCGCGAAAATTGTACTGACTGTTACCCGATTAAAGAGAATAATATTTCTGTTGTTACTAGAAACCAAGCAAAGAAAAGTACATTATCAACTGAAATCGTTCCAAGTGCGGAATTCGAAACCCGTGACTTCTGATATTAATTCTAAATCAAAATCAAGTAAAGGGCACGAAAAAAGCAAATAAAGACAATCAAAATGAAATTAGTTTTATTTCACCAGAAAAAATTTGTAAGTACATGGATTGACACTTGGTCAAATGATCAGCCTAGAGATTTCCAATTAAAAGACCCTACATAACGCCCCTTGATACATGCAATGCAATCGGACAAGGAAAAGCCATCCTTACAATCTATTTCGAAATATAGCCACGGTACTAAAGTTTTATTCAATATATGGCATGAATTGACCCTGGTAAATGAGGTTTTATATAAAATTTCTGATAAGGATATCGGAGGTAAAGTCAATCTTTTGGTTACCCCTAGCAATATCCGCAGATATATTTTTAACCAATTACATAGTAATAGAGTTGCATGACACTTTGGTAGAGACAAGACTGTGAACGCCATTAAATTAAGGTTTTACTGGCCTGGTCTTACTAGTGATGTCTCTAGGTGGTGCAATGAATGTGATCTATGTTCTAGGCGAAAACCTGGCCCAGGTCGAGGAAAGGCCCCAATGAAAAAATGTGCAATCCGGTTTCCCATTGGAACGTATTGCCATAGATATTCTTGGCCCTTTACCAACTTCTGACCGTGGTCATTCTTATATAATGGTTGTAGGAGACTATTTCACAAAATGGACAGAATCTTATGCTATTGCAGATCATACAGCACAAACTGTTGCAGATACTTTAGTGACCGAGTTTATATGTCGTTATGGTGTCCCATATTGTATACATACAGATCAAGGTCGAGAATTCGAATCAAATTTGTTCAAAGCCTTATGCAAATTATTAGATATAGACAAGACCCGCACTACCCCTACCATCCTCAGTCTGATGGAATAATTGAACGTTTTAATCGTACATTGCAACAAATGTTGGCAATGTTTGCCAATTCAAACCGAAATGACTGGGATGACCATCTTCCTTATGTTATGTTTGCATATAGAACTAAAGTGCAAGATAGCACAAAATGTACACCATCTTTATTAATGTTTGGTAGAGAAATAAATGTACCAATTGATATTTTGGTCGGAGATCCAAATAATAATGATATGTGTCCTATAGAATATGTACAGTGGGTTCAAGCCGCTAGTGAGCAGGCTTTCGAATTTGCACAACAAAACTTGACTGGCTCTTTCAAGAGACAAAAGTATTATCATGACCAAAATATGAAAACTAAAAGTATTGAGGTAAACTCATGGGTATGGAGATGGTATCCGCCTAATGCAAATGTCAAATTAGATTTAGGCTGGACCGGACCATACTTGGTTTTAGGTAAACCAAGTGATGTGACAGTAAAAATACAAAAGGCTCTTGATGCCCCAATGATTACTGTACACATTAATGACCTTAAACCATACCTTGGAGATACTTCCAGACTTACATCTTGGATACAACAAGATGACCCAAATAGGGAATTGGTAACCATACCAAGTCAAATTGTGTTATCAAATTTAGATAACGATGTAACCGAAAGTCCACCCAGATTCAATGAAAATTATGAAGATCTAACAGATAACTCCTTAAAAGTTATGACAGATCATCAAAACATTAAATTTACCAAAACTGGACATGAGACAAAACCACCAATACGTTTATTGGAAGAAATCTAATAGCTTTGTTTTTTTTTAGAAATAATTGCATAAAATGTAATAATTGTTATGTAGAGAAATATGTACCTAATTAGTTCATGCATTTAATTAAATCAATCATTATCTCATCATCTTTACATAAGATGGTTTACTAAATAAAAATGTTCTATAATAAAATTTTGCATGTTATGCTAATGACTTTATAATCTGTAATCCTTGTTACTCTCAGATGAAAAACTTTATTATTTTGTTACAATTCAAATTAGAAAGTAAATCAATCATATGTTATCGTTATCGCAATTTGTTTCGTCATATCCAGCAACACATGTGCATTCATATCCATTTACAAGATCTTTACAGGATCAACCGTTTTTACAAGGTTCCGACGGCCACTCGTTGGTTTCTGCATAGTTTCCAAGAAATTCAGTGTTAATAAAATATGTATAGAAACTGTTTTGCAATTGTTAGTTTAATCATTGAAGTCGTAACAGGA